CCCGCGTGTAGACTCCACGGCCCTCAGTTTGCGCGACAGCCTGCTACTCCTATGCTACTCCTAGGTGCCGCCGCTCGCGAGACTCCCGCCCGACGCGGCGCGGAGAGCGGAGGGGCTCTTCTCCGACCTCTGCGCCGTGCACGCGGCACGCGCCGACGCCGGCGCCGCGCCCGAGCTGCTCGGCTGGTCGCGCGCCAACGTGTCGCTCGATCTGGCCGAGGTTGGCGCAAAGATGCGGCGCGCAAAGGAGACGGGCCGGATCGGCAAGCAACTGGGCCACATCGTCGTCGGCCGCGAGCTGTTCGGACTGGGCGAGGTCAGCGACGGCGCGCAGCGCCACAGGGACGTCTGGGCCGCCCAGCCGAAGCTCGGCCGTGAGTGGCCGCCGTAGAGGTTTAATAGAGGTGTTTGTTTGGCGGGCGCTGCCCCGTCCTGGGCGCCCTGGGCACTGGTTGGGGGACACCGTCACCGAGCGCGTTGGACTTTTCTAACCGGACAAAGACGGCCATGAGCCGCGGTCGGTACTTCTACTTGGCACATGCACATATGCGTGACTTTTCTTGTACAACCAAGAATTGGCACGGCCTGCAAATGCAGCGCTTGTCATCGCCACATACGAGATGCTTCACGCTCGAGGAGCTTTGCAGCTGTGAGCGCTGTCAGAGCGGTGTTTCGACACCGATATCGTTCAAGGAGAACGCTGATTCAAAATCCGCTGTTCACACTTCACAGGTAAGTGTAAGCGGAGCAGCTGAGTTGATACAGCGAATCCTTTGTGTTCACACCTGCAAGAGCAGGTGTGAACCGATTTCGGCCTTAGCCGTCGGTATGCCAATAGCGTGCTAGCCAAGTAGTACGCAGTTGGATTCCGAGGGTGTCCCATCACAAGTTCGGCTGCCGACAGACAAGATTGTCCCTTAGTCGGCAGCACCCGCCTTTGGACGGTGCTCTGACTGGCTTTGAGAATATATTTTTCTTTTTGGTTCACATGGCTAGAGGTTGGCCTCCCACCGTTGTGAACATAGTCTGGCCCGAACGAGCCGCTCGTCTCTTGTCCGGGCAAACGCGCGCCCGATAGCCCCATTAAGCACGTGTGAGGGGTATCCGAGCGCCGTAAACTCCCTGAGCTTGCTCGTCACGCTGAGCGTGAATCCCTCGTCATCGCTCGCCATTGCGACAACCTTGAGCAGGCTTCTTTACTCCACATACGGAGTTTTGAACTGCGTGCGTGTTGCTTGCACATAAAGTAAAGCCGTAGGAGGATGAAGGACCCTTCGAGTGAATCCTGGCTGTGGTCCCACACCCCACTGGTGTCCATCTCAGAGACCGCAGTAAAGCCGTACACGGTAGCGGGATGGATACTGCGTGTGTTTGTTCTATAACATCAACGGCTAGCTCGTGCTTACTTCTAGAGCCTCCGCATCCCCGCCGTGCGGTACTGTACACGCTGTGGGCGCTGTGTGGGCGAGCGGCGAAATCGAAAAGACCCGCGCCATTAGTACCGACGCCGGAGGATCACTCCTCCACAGAGCGCGCGAGCCGCGTGAAGCAAGCGACGAAGAAGCCTGCCGTCAGGTCTTCCTTTGGGCAGAAGCGGCAGCACGCTAGCTGCGCGGGCAGGGTTCTGGTGTTACTGTTAACACTAGCAACACTGTTCGGCTCCCAACGTAACAGCTCTAGTGAAGCAAGCGACGAAGAAGCCTGCCGTCAGGTCTTCCTTTGGGCAGAAGCGGCAGCACGCGAGCGCCAGCTGCGCGGGCAGGCCTGCGCCCGCCTCCCCCCCTCTATGCCACCTTGGCAGCGCCGGCCGCAGCGTCCATCCCTCGGC